CTACTGGTCTCCACTCCATTTTATGTTTTCTGTTGTTTTGATGCAGGTTCTTTTGTGGGTGTTTCTTCTCTTGCTCTTTTCACTGGTCGAGTTGATGGTTCATATTCATCAAAGTCATCATCACTATCGAATTTGGTTTTCTTGCCCTGAACCTGTACTTTTGCTTTAGCAGACGCAGGCTGAGCAGCTTTATTTCCTTTTCCTTTAAATTTGCGACCTTTTGACTTCCATTTGTTTAGGGATTCTTGCTGATCTTCTATGATTTTTTTCAATGCTGCTTTTTCTACCTCTCCTTCTAGTACTTCCCAAGTGGCTGCTTTGTTCCTTAATTGTAGGTTACCATTATTTGCATCTTTGGCTTTTTCTAGGGTTTTCTTGGCTTTTTCTTTAAACAGAATTATGCCCTCTTTTGCTCCTCTGATAAAATCTATCCATTTTATTTCACCATGATTTGAGAAAAGGATGTGCAAATCTTCTCTACAGGTCTGATCATCTAAGTCACCCAAAAATTTCAGCAAGCATCCAATCTTTTCTTCTAGAGATTTCATTTCAGCATCTTCTGCTAACTTCTGTTTTTCTTCTTGCTCTCCTAAAAGCCGAGAACGGTGGCGGTGCTGGCCCCATTTTTTTTGACACTTACGTTGATTCCATGTCTTTGCAATTATGAATAATGCTGCAATAAACAAGGATGTGCAAGTGTATTTATGACCGTTTTCTTATCTTTTGGGTAAAAATGAGTGAAATTACTGGGTCATAGGTCACATGGTACTTCCATTTGTAGGTATTTTCTCAGCTAGTTCTGTGAGCAATCTCCGTGTAGTGATCGTGCTGTTCGAAGGTTGAGGATTGAAAGTGTGGGGGTGGACAGGAACATCAGGTGTCATGGTGGTTAAGGTGCTGGACACTCATACATGGCTGGCCGTGGTTTGAATCCTGAACCTGGTGGCTTGCTTTCTCAGTTCCTCTCTCTTTCTCTGTCTCTCTATGGTCAAATTAAGAACTAAATGGATGAATAAATAAAATTTAAAGAAAGTAAAAAAGTTAAGTGTGAGGGTAGCCAAAGAGCAAAAAGATCAAGATGTGTTAAGAGAGCTAGTATGATAATGACGGAAATAAACCAGTGATTCTCAGAGCGTGGTCTGAGGATCCTTTAGAAAGTCCATAGTGTCTATCTACTTTTTTTTTTCTAAGAATTATATTATTTAAATTTATTTATTTATTTATTTTAAAATCTGACCAGAGAGGGACAGAAAGAGAGAAAATGAGAAAGTAAACTACCAGGTCCAGAACTTGAACCACCGTCAGCCATGTGGGAGTACAATGTCCTTAACTACCATGCCACCTACCGGCCCCTGTGTCTACCTACTTCTAACTACATTTGTGAGGATAAAATTTTTTCATACGTGTTAACCAAAATAAACAATAAATTGAATGCAGAAACAAAGATAAGAATCAACTGTTTTAAATAATGAAACCAGGACCAGCAGGTGGCAAAGTTTGAGTACCAGACCCGTTCAGCTTGAAAATCACACCAACTGCATGTGTCTGCAGGCCCAGAATCCCAAGAAGATGACAGAGAAGGGATTGTGGTGTGGCCTCCCTCTTTAGGGATGATTTCTCATTTTCCCCTCTCCCTGTCCATCTCCAGCAAGTTTATAAATCCTAAGAAAAGGAAAGAAAAGAAAAGAAAAGAAACCAGATATTAAAGAGATTTACAAAAGTAGTGAACAAATGCCACTTTGTTACTAAATTTTATTTATTTATTTATTTATTTATTTATTTATTTATTTATTTATTTAGGGCACACGCGCACACACATGCCTGGAGTGTTTTGTTTTTTTTTTTCTTTTTTTGTAGAGGGTTTTTTGCTATAGGGCACGTGCGGTCCGAGAGAGACAGAGACAGAAAGTGAGAAATCACGCCACGCCACAATCCCTTCTCCTCCATTCTCCTCTTGGGATCTTGGGCATGCACGCACATGCACCCGGTGTGAGTTTAAGCCACCGGGTTCAGGACTCCAACTGCCGTCGACTACATGGGAGTCCAGTGACACAGACATTACGCCAACTGCTGGTCCACTGGAGTGTTTTTTTAAACCACTGGGTCCAAGAATTGAACTATGAAGTCAGCCACATGGGATCCAGCCACCCTATCTACCATACCACTGGTTGATCCTAATTTTTTTTTTTTGTTTGGTTTGTATTTGCTAGCATGTAAAGAGTGGGTTTTTAAACCTTTTTAAATGAGTAAATAACTTCTAAATTTTGTTCTAATTTTTAATACAGTAAGTATTGATAAATACAGCTCACAAAATCAAAAGTTGTTTGGTACTCCATCAGCTAAGATTGTAAAGGTGTCTTGAAACCTAAAAGTTTGATGATTAATGGATAATAAAGCACCATAAAATCTAATCTGTCTAGGGAAGGAACTGAAGGAATTAAGAGTGCAATGGGCTGCATAAAAAGGGGGCAGAATAAAGAATGAGAGGTATCTATTCAACCCTTGTTTCCTATTGGAGAGGTGTCAATTTCTTGATTTGTGTGCATCCTGTATGGAGGTGCTGCTCTCTCATTTCAGTATAAACTATGCAGTCATGGGCTAATACTCTGTTCTAGCAACTGCGTCAGGTTCTTACTTCCTGATATTCTGGATTCCACCCTTGCACAGGATATCTTGATCTGTTTTCTGCCATTTTACTTAGCAATGTCTTTCTTCAGCTTGGCCTGATTTTTTTTTTAACACATTTTTGCTGTAGAGTGTGTGTACTGACTAGAGAGACAGAGACTGAGAGAAAGCGAGAAATCACCCTCTGAGGGGGTGGCCACGCCTTAGTCCCTTCTCCTCCATTCTCTTGGGATCTTGGGCACACATGCACACGTGTGCAGAGTGAGTTTCAAGCCTCTGGGTCCAGTACTCAAACTGCGGTTGGCCATGTGGGAGTCCAGCAACATAACCATTACACAGTCTACTGGTCCTGAAACTATTGATAGCTCATAATTGGCTTCTGTTTTGGCTTCAACTAGCTATTTTGGTGCCACCACTTTTGACTTGAATTTCTCATTCTTGACCATGGCTTAAATATTTTTCAGTTTCTGCTACCTCAGAATCATTCAGCCCTTCACTTTAAAAGCTAGTAATCTGTAATATTTACCCAAGATAAAAATACTACTAACCTGTGTCATCTCCAGTTTTTAATTTCTTTGGGACATTGCTTGGACAAATATAATCTCCATTACCTAGTGATAAGAAATAACATTTATTGATTATTAAGTCATTTAAATTCTTGATTTAAATAGATTTATTTTGAGTGATAGAATTATATATTCAGGGAACTAAGAGGTTATTCATCCTAGGAAGGTGGAAAGGTAAAGTGAGAATAAAGGGCAATGTCTGAAGTAGGTTTCAAATTTGTTTGCTGGTGTTTTAGGAATATCAGATGCATTTTTATTATTTAGAAACATAGAATACATGTCAAAGCAATAATTTATCTTATCCTTTTGAGTCAGCTCATTAATGCAGATGAATATACAATTTATTTCAAGAAAAAATGTATTATATGATTAGTTTTAGTCATCTGTAAGGCTGATAGTTATATTTCAATGTAATTTTAAACTATATTTTACAATTTCTTACAGTAACCCTAAATCGGAGAGTCAGAGAGTAAATAAAAAAGTCAACAATGATGCCTCACTTAGAATTCATAATTTATCCATTTTGGTGAGACAGATAAAATTTTATTACCAGGTAAGTGGCCTTTTTTAAAATCTGATATTTGAATGCTTAATACATTCACATTTTTATGTTACTTAGTTATCAGTCATCTAACAAATACTTAAATGCGTATTATATTCCAAGTCCTGGTCTGTTTGTTGGCTATAGAGTAGTAAGTAAGATAGTTTATTTTTTATGAATAATAAAGATATAAGCAAGTACTTCATAATTTTCTGATAAGAAACAATTATTGTATTTTATTTATTTTTAAAACTGATTCCTAATATCCTGAGAACTTGCACAGTACAACACTTATTGGCCTACTTAAATTATGACTTCAAAAGGTATACTTTTATTAAAAACTGAAATTGGGGGGAGCAGCAGGTGGCATAGCAGTTAAGGTGCTGGACTCTCACATGACCATCTGTGGTTCCCGGACCTGGTGGGTTGAAAATCATGCTGGGTACTTGTGCATGTATGCCTAGATCCTAGGAGAATGGAGAAGAAGGGATTACAGTGTGGCCATTCCCCTTGGGGGGCAGGGGATGATTTCTCACTTTCCCTCTTACTGTCTCTCTCTCTCTCTCTCTGTCTCTCTGATGGACGCTCACACTCTATGACAAAAACCTAAAAAAATAAATTACAAAACTAAGAATTGGGAACTGGATGGTAGTACAGTGGTTAAAAACAACAACAACAAAACGCTCTGTAAGGGTAAGCCACATGGGAAGGTTCTATATTCAAGTCCAGATATCTTCCAAGTGCACTGAGCCTTTGTGGACCCACGATCCAGGCTAACTGAAGTCAAAGATGGATGGCAGCATCTTGACCCTGTCAGAGATATTCTCTCTCTGCCTCTCTCATGGAATAAATAACACCTTTTTTTTTTTTTTTTTGGAAGGTTTTGTTT